CGCAATTTTCTTATAGTCATTACCGCTCGCTTGACTCAATTATCTGTCTCTATATCTGTCTTTCTGCAATTACATCTCCGCTTTATTTGCCGGGCTTATATACTAAAGTAGAGGGCGCCTGGAAAAGACTACAGTCATGATCCTTCTAGAAACTCCAGTGCGCATGCTTCCAGCATCGCGTGACTTCCGCTGTCGTAACAGAGGTTATAATTTCTTTGTATAGGTCACTGGTTAGGCCACATTTGGAATATTTTGTTCGGTCTTGGGCTCCTTACCTAAGGAAAAACATTGAGTTGTTGGAAAGGGTTCAGAGAAGGGTTACTAGAATGATGCCTGGGATGGAGGGATTGTCATACGAGAGAAGCAGAAATATCTCAACTTGTTTTCTCTTGAAAAAAGAAGAGTTAGAGTGGATCTGATTGAGGTGTTTAAGACTGTAAAGGGAATCAATAGTGTTGATACATCATCTTTTTTCATATTTAACAGTGAGAATAGTAGGGCTATGGGAAACAAATATAAATTTTGACAGTGTAAGAGTCATCTTCATTTAAGACAGTTTTATTTTTCTAACAGGGTGGTTGGCCTTTGGAATGGGTTGGCTTCAGATGTTGTAGAGACATTAAATTTAAGTGAGTTTAAGAAAAAGCTTGATTAGTATATGAATGATAAGAGCTGGTTTTAACATTTTTCATTATTTTAATTTAGTTTAGAGGATGGAACAGCCGAGATGGACCAATAGTTCCCATGTTGTCCCAAAACGTTATGCTATGTTAAAATGTTGTAATTTGTTGGCCTTAGTTTACAATGACCTTCTGACGGAAATACCCCGCTAACTGAATTACTTCTACAATTTCAGATATGATCTATCAAGTAGCTGAATAACCGCGATAACTAATACGGATCCAAATACTTCATTGAATAATTGAAACAAAGCAACTTTAAATAAAACTGACTCAATACTTCACTGACTCTCGTATTAAATAATCTACTCTTGTCTCTCGATACTCTCGAATTTATTAGACTCTTGACGTCAACAGTAAAATTTTCTAGATTTTATAAGCCAAGTTTTATAAATTATTGATCTTAATGTAACGCACTTTCCAACTAACATCTAAGTTAGAGCATTGTGAATATAGCTTACCCATTACTAATACAATCATAATATAGTTGCAACGTAATTTCACCATAGGTGGCTCAGCAGAAAGTCTTTGTCTCTTAACTAAAAACTGGATTTCGATACTCATGGTGGACAAAGCACAAATTGCCTATTGTGTAGCTTTGAACTTAACAACAAACAAATTGTTACGACAGCGGAACTCACGTCACGCTGTTAACACTTCATGAGATTTTCGAAGGATTTTGACTTTTTCTGACAACTCTAGTCTGTTGTAGGCAACTTCTTTTTTTAGTATATAAGCCCGGCAAATAAAGCGGAGATAGGATTGCAGACAGATAGATATAGAGACAGGTAATTGAGTCAAGCGAGCGGTAGTGACTGTAAGTAAAGTGCGTGAATCGCTGTGAATT